TGAACATTGATGCAAAAATACTAAATAAAATAATGGCAAATAGAATCCAAAAACACATCAGAACCAGCATCCACCATGATCAAGTCGGCTTCATCCCAGAGATGCAGGGATGGTTCAACATACGAAAATCTGTCTAAGTAATCTAGCATATAAATAAACTGAAAAATAAAAACCACATGATCATCTCATTAGATGCTGAAAAGGTTTTCAACAAAATACAACATCCCTTCAGGACAAAGGGCTTGGAGAGAGCAGGGATAAAGGAACATACCTAAACATAATTAAGGCAATATACAGCAAGCCAACAGCCAACATCAAACTAAATTGAGAGAACTCACAGCGAAATCAGGAACGAGACAAGGTTGTTCACTCTCTCCATACCTATTGAATATAGTTAGTTCTTGAGGTCCTAGTTAGAGCAATAAGACAACAAAAGGAGATCAAGGGGATACAAATCAGAAAAGAATAAGTCAAATTCTCACTATTTGCTGATGATATGATAGTTTACATAAGTGACCCCAAAAATTCTACCAAGGAACTTCTACAACTCATAAACACTTTCAGTAATGTAGCAAGATACAAGTTTAACTCAAAAAATCAGTAGCCCTCCTGTACACAGATGATAAATGGGCTGAGAAAGAAATCAGAGAAACATCACCCTTCATAATATCCACAAATTAAAATATCTCAGAGTAACTCTAACCAAACAAGTGGAAGACTTGTATGACAAGAACTTTAAATCTTTTAAGAAAGAACCTGAAGAAGACACCAGAGAGTGGGAAGATTTCCCATGATCTTGGGTAGGTAGAATTAACATAGTAAAAATGGCAATCTTACCAAAAGCAACTTACAGATTCAATGCACTACCCAGCAAAATCCCAGAAAAATTCTTCACAGACCTTGAAAGAACAATACTCAACTTCATATGGGAAAGTAAAAAACCCAGGATAGCCAAAACAATCCTGTACAATAAAAGGATTTCTGGAGGCATCACAATCCCTGGCTTCAAACTCTACTACAGAGCTACAGTACTGAAAACAGCCTGGTACTGGCATAAGAACAGACAGGAGGACCAATGAAACCGAATCAAAGACCCGGATATTAATCCACACGCTTTCAAACACCTGATTTTTGACAGAAGCAAAAAAATATCAAATGGGAAAAAAGAAAGCATATTTAACAAATGGTGCTGGCATANATTCTTCAATTGAAGGGCATCTAGGTTGTTTCCAGGTTCTGGCTATTACAAACAATGCTGCTATAAACATAGTAGAGCATATACGTTTGTTGTGTGATAAGGCCTCTCTTGGGTATATTCCCAAGAGTGGTATTGCTGGGTCCATGGGTAGGTTCAAACACCTGATTTTTGACAGAAGCAAAAAAATATCAAATGGGAAAAAAGAAAGCATATTTAACAAATGGTGCTGGCATAACTGGATATCAACAAGTAAAAGAATGAAAATAGATCCATATCTAACACCATGCACAAAACTCAAATCCAAATGGATCAAAGATTTCAACCTAAAGCCAGCCACACTGAACCTCACAGAAGAAAAAGTGGGAAGTACACTTGAACGCATTGGCACAGGAGACCACTTCCTAATATAACCCCAGTGGCACAGACACTGACAGAAACAATTAATAAATGGGACCTCCTGAAACTAAAAAGCTTCTGTAAATCAAAAGACATGGTCAACAAGACAAAATGACATCCTACAGAATGGGAAAAGATCTTCACCAACCCCACATCAGACAGAGGGTTGATCTCCAAAATACATAAAGAACTCAAGAAATTGGTCGTCAAAATAATAAAAAGAAAAAAGTGGAGTACAGATCTAAACACAGAACTCTCAACAGAGGAATCTAAAATGGCTGAAAGACACTTAAGGAAATTTAACATCTATATCCTTAGTCAACAGAGAAATGCAAATCAAAACAACTCTGAGATTCCATCCTCCACCTGTAAGAATGGCCAAGATCAAAAACATTGATGACAACTTATGCTGGAGAGGTTGTGGGGTAAAGGGAACACTCCTGCCTTGCTGGTGGGAGTGCAAGCTGGTACAGCCCCTTTGGATATCAGTGAGGTGATTTCTCAGAAAATTAGGAAACAACCTTCCTCAAAACCCAATTATACCACTTTGGGTATATACCCAAAAGATGTTAAACTGTGCCACAAGGACATGTGCTCATCTATGTTCATAACAGCATTGTTGTCATAGCCAGAACCTGACAACGATCGAAATGCCCCTCAACTGAAGAATTAATAAGGAAAAATGGAGTACTACACATCAGAAAAAAAAATACCTTGAAATTTTCAGGCAAATGGATGGAGCTAGAAAACATTGTTTTGAATTAGATAATACAGACCCAGAAAGACAATTATCAAATGTACTCACTCCTAAGTGACTTTTAGACATAAAGCAAAGATAACCAGCCCACAAATCATGATCCCAGAGAACCTAGACAACAATGAGGGCCCTAAGAGAGACATATATGGATCTAGCCTACATGGGAAGTAGAAAAAGACAAGATCTCCTGAGTAAATTGGGAGCATGGGGACCTTGGGAGAGGGTTAAAGGGGAGGGTTTGGGCTGGGAGGGGAGCAGAGAAAAATGTAGAGCTCAATAAAAATCAATAAATACATGTATTGGCTAGTGAAAGCATAAGATCCAATGTTAACTTGCACAGCTTTGGAGTGTCTGTCTCAGCTCCATAGGCGTTTGCTAAAATGCATAGACTTTGGGTCTGGATAATTTTAATGTGATTTTTTTTCTTCTTTGCAGTTCCTTTACAATAAAGTTTTAATTTAAAAAAATTTAAAAAGAGAAGCATAATGTGCTAATTAATATCTGCCAAGGACGCCTCATTGACTGGAGTCCTTATGGCTCCCCTCAAGGAAAATATTCTCTGAGTTAAGATGACAGCTGTATAGTTTGGATGGAACTTAGACATTAGTTTTTCCACTAATGAACCTATCTGAAGGCATGGAGTTGGAATGTCTAGTCCTCTCCTGCAATCTGCCAATTAGATTCAGACTAACATGTGGAAACTGGCAAGTGCCTTCCACCCTCTTAAGGTACGGGAAGGAAAATTAAACATTAAAATGATAAATAAACTTTTGTCTTTTAGACAAATCAAAGCCAGCCTTTGATGGCATGTGTTCCATTACCCCACATGCTAATGAAGGGGCTTGTACAATAGCACCCAAATAATTACAGCATCACTTGTGAATGCTGTGCCCCTTCATACCTGTGTTAATTCTAGTCTGTCCTGAAACTTAACCTCTGAAAATTTATACATTCTTAGAGCAAGGTCAGCAATCTGGACACCGGTGAAGTTGCCAAGGCCATGGCAAGACTTACTTACCTGTGATGATCCTGGTACAGAAGCTCACTGAGGGAATATTAAAAAGAACATGTCAAATGGTTGAACTGGTTATGGAAGTTATTATGGGAATATTGCATTAACTGCTGCTGCTACCGCAACAGCTAGAGTAGTGTTTCATGAAGAAATGCAAGCTGCTGAGTTCTTCAGAGACTGGCATGAGCATTCTACAGAACTTTGGACTCAGCAAAATAAAAGAGTGAGATAGTCAGTGACAGAGATTTGAGACAAGCTGTTATACTGTTGGGAGATCAGTTAGAAATATTAAAGGAGCAGGTAAAATTAAATGTGATTGGGATGCAATGTCCTATTGTATTACACTTTAAAATCCAATAATAGCAAGTATGACTGCAGAAAGGTTATATGTACTTGATGGGTCACTCTAATTCTTCTCAAATGCTTTATGATTTACAGCAAGATATTACGGAGACTTTTACAAAAAGGTCACCTGATACAACAGGATTGGATACTACGGAAAGCCTTGCAGATTCCATAGCCTCATTTAACCTTGTGAATCACTTTAATGGATTTCTTGTTTTAGGAAGTGTTATTCTTGTTCTAGCAATGTAGCCTTATTGGCTTTAAACTGTTTGGGCTTACTTGCATAAGACTATAAAACAGATAGAGAAAAGGGTGCATAATTTCCAATATAATTAATTGTCGCATATACAAAGGGGGGATATGTTAGGGGAGTTCCTCACTTCTACACCTGGCTTGATTCTGGAGTCTTGGCACCTAGCTTTAACTGTTAACTTTTGTCTCCAGTACCTTCTGTTTGAAGTATCTAAATCTTATCTGAGTTTCCTAAAGGTTGAAAGTCTATGCAAAAGCTGGTTGCAGGAGGCAAGATGTCTCTTAACAGAAAATTTGTGTTGGCTTTGTCAAGACGTTTTGGTATATGGAAATTGATATGCTGAAGGTGTGAACTGTGTAACAATACAAAGGCCCTTTGTGGACTGGAGAAATGGCTCAGTGGTTAAGAGCACTGCCTACTCCTTTGGAGGTCCTGAGTTCAATTCCAGCAACCACATGGTGGCTCACAACCACCTATAATGGGATCTGATGCCCTCTTCTGTCATGCTGGCATATATGCAAATAGAGCACTCATATGCAGAAAGAAATATTTTTTTAAAAGGCCCTTTGCAACGTGTTATTTTTTACTCGAGCCCCACATTGGAAGGCCAAAATGTTGTTGGTTTTTTTTTTTAAATTACTCTTTAGTTCTTTTGGGGGCCCACCACCCAGCTCCTTAAAAAAAAATCACACACAAAGAGTCTTATTCTTACTTATGAATGGCTGGCCTTAGCTTGGCTTGTTTCTTGCCAGCTTTTCTTAACTTCAATTATCCCTGACTACCTTTTGTCTCTGAGATTTTACCTTATTTCTGTATATCTCACTTTCACTCTAACGGCCTGGCTGCCGGGTGGCTGGCCCGATGTCCTGCTCTTTGTTCTACCTTGCTCCTCCTCCCCCTCCTCCAGATCTCTCCTTCTACATATGCTCTCTGCCTGCCGGCCCTGCCTATCCTTTCTCCTGCTTTGCTATTGGCCGTTCAAGTTCTTTATTAGACCATCAGGTGTTTTACACAGGTAAAGAATCACAGCTTCACAGAGTTAAACAAATGCAACATAAACAAAAGCAACACATCTTTACATCATTAAACAAATATTCTACAAAAAGCAACACAGCTCAAAACAGTATTCTACAACATCAAAGTGGCAGTGAGTCAGCCAGCCATAGGCTGGGCCCTGCAGCTGACAAGGCTAAATTCATCCTTCAAGTACTTCTGTGTCTTCTCCTCACGGACCCGCGTGAACCCACACTGATACAACAGGGAGGTTCAGAATAAAGGTGCCCAGTGCAACTACTCCATTAGAATCAGCGGTCATAGCTAATTCTGCCTCTCTTCACTTGATGCTTGCAGAGTTACCACTGGACTGCAAAACAGAAAGTCCATTTGCTGGCCAACCAATTACAAAATGACGATGCCATGAACATCTTACATACTGTTATGGCTGACATCAATTTACCTTTGATGATCACAGATGCATTATGGGTACAGCCTTTTTCAGTGCAACCCTCCATACTGCATGAAAAAAAAGAACGCACAGGATAAGTCCTTAGCTACAGGAAAGTCTTAGTCAGCAGTTTTATTTTCCACACCTTTAGGCTTTAGTGAAAATAGTGCCCACTGTTAGTTAGAGCGAAGTCAGCACTTGATGAGTGCCGGTTCACCTGGTACCTTTTGGCGCACAGTACACTGAAAGATGATTGCTGGTATTCATTCTGTCTTGCCAAGATGACCACTGCCTGTATTTCTTCCCTAAAAATGAGTTCTAGGTGTTACTCCGGTATATTATCGTTTTAATGGAGTAGATGGACACATCCACAAAAGTTAAGAAAGTGCCATGCTCTGGAGCCAAGGCAGGCCACAAATCTATCATCTTCCAGCCTCGGCCTCCTCAACACTGGATTCACAGGCATGCGCGACCACACCGGCTCTGCTGCTTTCCTTAGGTGTGGGTTTTCTTATGGTTTTGAAGGCGGGAACCGTGACTGAAGTCTTTCCCACAGATGTCACATCTGTGCGGCTTTTCTCCAGTGTGAACTCTCTGGTGTGTTTGAAGACTTGAGAGCTGACTGAAGCCCTCCCCACACTCCTCACACTTGAAGAGTTTCTCCTTTGTGTGAGTAATCAGATGGACTCGAAGCTTTGAGGGGAAACGGAAGGCCTTTCCACACTCCTTACATTTGTGAGGTTTCTTTCCCATGTGGTCCCTCTGATGGTGGCGAAGGTCCGTGCAGGTGTCAAAGAATTTCCCACACTCCTGACATCTGAAAGGTTTCTCTTCAGCGTGGTATCTCTGATGGTAGGTAAACTGAGAACTGTATATAAAGCCCTTTCCACACACATCACACTTGTATGGCGTCTCCCCAGTGTGGACTCTGTGATGGTAATGGAGGCCAGAGGAGCGACTGAAGCCTTTCCCACATATATCACACTTGTATGGTTTTTCTCCAGTGTGAACTCTCTGGTGGGCTTGAAGACGTGAGCGCTGGCTGAAGCCCTTCCCACACTCCTCACACTTGAAGAGTTTCTCCTTCATGTGAATGCTCAGATGGACTCGAAGATTGGAGGGCAAACTGAAGGCCTTTCCACACTCCTTACATTTGTGAGGTTTCTCTCCTGTGTGCATCCTTTGATGGTGGCGAAGTTCTGTGCTCCTGCCAAAGCCTTTCCCACACTCCTGACATTTGTAGGGTTTCTCTCCAGTGTGGCATCTCTGATGGTAGATGAACTGAGAACTGTACCTAAAGCTCTTTCCACACACATCACACTTGTATGGCTTCTCCCCAGTGTGAACTCTCTGGTGGGAATGAAGGCCAAATAAGCGACTGAAGCCTTTCCCGCACACCTCACACTGGTGTGGTTTTTCTCCAGTGTGAACTTGCTGTTGTGACTGATAATCCAGGAGCTGACTAAAGCTCTTATCACACTCTTCACACTTGTAGACTTTCTTCTCTGAGTGGACCCTCTGAGAAGCGGGATCCAACCCGCAACTGAAGCCTTTCCCACACTCCCGACTCTTAGACGGTTTCTTTCCAGTGTGTGTTACTTGGTGTTGTTTAAGATTTGAACTATAGCGGAAGCCCTTCCCACACACTTCACATTTGTATGATTTCTCCCCAGTATGAACTCTCTGGTGGGCGCGAAGCCTCGAGGACCGACTGTACCCCTTCCCACAAGTTTCACATTTGAATTGCTTCTCGTCAGTGTGGCTATTCTGATGGACTTGAAGGCTGGAATCCTGGCGGCTGCCTTCCCCATATTCCTTCCGCATACAGGGCTTCTCTCCGGTGTGAGCACGGGAGTGGACATGAAGATCTGCATTTCGGGTGAAGCCTTTCCCACACTCCTCACACTTGTAAGGTTTCTCTCCCTTGTGAGCTCTGCAGTGAATGAGGAGACCCTTGCTACTGCTGAATCTCTTTCCACAGCTCTCACATCGGTAGGGCTTCTGTCCTCTGTTGCTTTTAAGCTGCTTACAAAGCGATGATTTCTTCCTCGAATCTGCAAACACACACAGGTCACACTTCACACAGACCGGCTTATTTCTGCTCTGGTTCTGTGAATTATGCAGACACTTACTTTGGCAATAATTATGAGTTCTTGAGACTGAAAAGTCTCCATGTTCAAGGCAGCTGGTGCTATCTCCTTCGGGATTGCCTGTATTGCCGCTGTTGTCAGAAACCAGAGTGGAATCATCTTGCGGTGCTTGAGAGCGCCTCCTCGGAAAACACCTGCTCAATCCCTGCGCAACCTGCTTCCAGATGCGCCAGCAAGACAGCTCTTCCTGGGCAAGGTGTTTTAGTGCACGTCTCCCAGTAGTCTCCGACTCATGTTCACTCCTGCTGCCTGTAAGAAAGCAGTCGTAGAGATGAGACAGGTTATGGGAGAAGGCCGTACTAAGGGCATGGATGAGATAGACTCCAGGCAGGGCAAAGGTCACCCTGTCCTTGCAACATCACTTGTCCTTTCCTCAGGTCTTCCTAGATGTGGAGCAAGGGTGACTCGCAGTGTTGGGTGGAACCCATTTACAGACTCTGTCTGGTGTGCACCATCAGTGCTACAATAGCTGGAGAGATGGCGCAGTGCTTAAAAGCACTTGCTGATCCTCCAGAGGACCTGAGTTTGGGTTCGGGTACCTACATTAATGGACTTACAACTCCCTGTAATTCCAGCTACAGGGAGTCTAGCTCCACATGCACCATATGCATGGGGCATACAAACACCAACATTTTTTTTTTTTAAATTTGAAAATGAAGAAACAGGAAACAAAACCACGAGCGCTATGGGCACAAAGTCTATCCATGCATCCATGCTCTAACACACAATGACATTAATTAAAAGTGTATTCATCCTTTTTCCTTAGAACTTATGCAAATGGGACTCTTTCAAATTTCAGTTAGAAAACCCTCGAACTTTGTTAGGCCAGTGGGCAGGAGTATCAACATGGACACACTATGGAGCGGACCTGGGAAACAGGTAGCATGGGTTCTCACCAGGATATCTACTTCTCTGGGCTTCTGTTTCCTTCCGCCAAAGCTTTTCTTCTGCTTCCAGTAGAGACACCACATTTGCTTTGTGGGGAAAGCGCCCTAAGAAAAGACAAAACAAATAATTTAAGGTGAACACAAAATTGAAGCACGTTTTTGTCTAAATTACAAAATCCTCAGCACCTGTGTAATTAATGTTAGAAATGTTTTGATCACGAATTGTACTGAGAAGCCAAGGGCTGGGCAGACAGCTCAGAGGCTAACTGCACTTGCTATTAGCATGAGGACAGAGATCGGCCCCCAGCACCCATGGGAACAGCCATGCATGGTCTCCTGATGGCACCTAATATCTCTGGTGCTTTGGCAGACAGTGATAAAGGAGGATGCCTGATGACCTCCATGTGCACACAGATTTGAAGGGAACTTCAAAAGTTAACAGAAATCAAGGTCATGGCCATGCATGTATGACAGAATCTGTTCCATCATGTCTTAACCTTCTCTTGCATCCCTCACTGGAAACCACCAGGCTTTGCTGCAGGAGGTCCTCCAGAACAGATTCTGACATCCTATCCTCATCTTGTCTATTGCAAAGAAAATTCATGCCAAGCAGTGGTGGCACATGCCTTTAATCACAGCACTCAGGAGGAAGAGGCAGGCAGTTCTTTGTGAGCTCAAAGCCAGCTTGGTCTACAAAGCAAGTTCCAGAACAGCCAGGGCTACACAGAGAAACCCTGTCTCTAAAGAAAAAGAAAAAAAAAACCTACTACTATATTGCACCCTGCTTGTTTCTTTACCTATTAATGGATCACAGGCAAAATTAGAAAGACAAAGGACAGGCCTGAGGCATGAATCAGTAGCAGAGCACCTGCTTAGAATCCCCCAGTGAGGGGCTAGGGTGTGGCTCAGTGGTAGAGCCCTGCCTGGAATCCCGCAGTGAGGGGCTGGGGTGTGGCTCAGTGGTAGAGCCCCTACCTAGAATCCCCCAGTGAGGGGCTGGGGTGTGGCTCAGTGGTAGAGCCTGCCTAGAATCCCCCCAGTGAGAGGCTGGAGGTGTGGCTCAGTGGTAGAGCCCCTGCCTGGAATCCCGCAGTGAGGGGCTGGGAGTGTGACACTGTGGGACTACATTTGCCTAGAGGTCACCGGAAAGCTCAAAGTGGCTCAACAGCAGATTCCTACCTAGCATACACAAGACCCTGTATTCTAGTCTCAGAAAAATCCACAGTATTGAGTTAAATTACTCATTTGTGGTTCATGGGAAACAGGGTGTGTTGTCCGTCAAATGTCCCCCCTCCCCTCCCCTCTACCCTCCCCCCACAGTATATGGACATTCTGGATGGTAGATCATCCTGCTGTGGGAGCTGTCTTGGGCCTGGCTACTAATTGCTAAATGTTAGTAGCAGCCATCCCTGAACTGTGAGAAATATGTCTGCTGTGGAATAATTCTTCTGCACACAGTGAATACATATTACTCCCATTGTAATATAAAGAAGCTGACTGGCCTATAGCAAGGCACGATAATGTTAGGCGGGGACAATCAAACAGAGGATACTGGAATAAAGAAGGGTGGAGCCAAGGAGAAGCCAGTCAGCTGTGGAGGAAGCAAGACATAGAAAATGCGATAACAAGCCATAAGCCATGTGGCAAAGCTTAGGTAAGAAATAAGGATTAATTTAAATGTAAGAGTTAGGTAGTAATGAGCCTGGGCTATTGGCCTAGCATTTATAAATAATATTAAGCCTGTGTGGTAATTTGCAAGTAGCTCCAGGGACAGGAAAACTCCACCTGTTACATGAGTCCAGACATTGCCGAATGTTCTCTAACAGAAAATCTAGCTGAGAATCGGTGGTTTAAAAAGATTTTGACTGAGCAGAAACATCAGAAAAATCCCTTTTGTCCTAGGGAATCTTTTCAAATGATCCAGAGCCTTGAGCATCTGAGGACAGAGAGTCTCTGGAAGGCTGAGGTTCGGTGTCACAGGACACCCGTCCTCACCCACAGCAACCAGGTTCTTGAAGTTCTCCAGCATCACGTCTTTGTACAGCTTCTTTTGCATGAGGTTCAGCAGCCCCAGTTCTTCTGTAGTAAACACCAATGCCAAATCCTTGAATGTCACCGCCTCCTGTGACATCAAACAAAAGTCACTTTGATCCAGCTCCCATGGAAGAGGAGAAGCAGAGAGGACACGGTCACATGGGTGCTGCAGACTCAGGGGTCAAAGCAGCCTGAGCCAATAGTTGTTCTGCACTCACACCCCCTCCCCAACAATAGTCTAAACTGACTCTGCTACTCCTCCCTCTGTGTGTATGTGTATGTGTTCTTCCTTGAGGGTGAGGTGAGAAAGGGTCCCACACAGCCCAGGTTGTACTCAAATTCAGTATCACAGAAGATAGATAACCTTGAACCTCTGTTCCTCCTGGCTTTACCCACAGCACTCAAAATTTGGCCATGCATGCCAGGCCTGGATTTTATTTTAACCATGCACGCCAGGCCTGGTTTTTATTTTGGCCATGTATGCCAAGCCTGGTTTATGCAGTGCTAGAGATCAAAGCCAGGGCAGTAGGGGCACTAAGCAAGCACTCTATCTAGCTCCAGCCCCACAAATAGCTATATCATAACCAAAGTAACAAGTTATTTTTCTCAACAATTTTGTAAATCGGTAACAAATGATAACACACAGAGCACCAAACTCAGACTCGTTTTCTACAACACCTCAGTCCCCGAAAAAGACAAAATGCAATATAAAATTACTGAGAAATGCCTGACCTGAAATTCAGCCATTTTCTCTTGTTCCTTTGGAGGAAGGTCACTGTCCTGAGAAGGCATAACTAAGGAAAGATGGAGAAGCCATGAAACAAATGTCAGAACTGTCATTAGCCCAGCTGAAACACTGACCCTCCTGCTTCCAGACACACGCCACCACACACAGCTCAGAAACCAGAAACACACACTGGATTTCAGCGACTAGCAAACCCCTTAGCTCATCTGAGTAGCGAACAACCTATACAACCAACTTCCTTATTCCTACCGTGGAGTTTCAGATTCTGGGAATGGGGGGGACATTCAGCTGATGAGCAAATGAATGATAGGAAAGAAAGGGGAAAAGCAGGATCCAAATGCCTGGCTCCATTTCTGGAAGTACTGCTTACAGTCTCAACACAGGGAATGTTAGGAAATCTTTGTGTCTCACTTTTCCCACAGCATCATTTCTGCCTGCCTCACGGGGGGCGCCAAGAACTAAAGAGCAAGGGAGAGTTATAAGAAGAGGGGATGGAGATTGGAGCTGCTGCTTGCAAAGGACCTGGCTTCTATTTCCAGCACCTACATAGCAGTTCACAACTGTGTGCAATTCCAGTCCAAGGGACCTCTGCGGGTACCAGGTACACACATTGTATACACATTTAGATTCAGGCAAAGTACTTACGTACTTAAAACAATATAAAATCAAAATGTTTTTAAAGACTAGAAAATCCCTTTTCTTATGAGAAAAAAAGCAGATATTCTGCAACATAAATTATATATATATAACATATATATATATACAGTGTGCTCCTATGAAAGTCACCTTTAATTTCTAAAAAGCCTAATTCTGACCTAAAATACCTTAACTAAATATTTTTACCCTATAGTAATATTTTATTGACACTGGTATCTAAAAGGCATCATTTTATTAGCTGAACAAAAATGAAGGAAACAGATATGAACCTGAAAAAAAAATGGACTGCAAGAGGTTAAGGGAAAACAACACGCATCTACTCAGTACCTTTGGAGACAGTAGCTCAGTATCCCGGCTGGCCTGGAACTAGTTATGTAGCCCAAACAAGCCACTAAGTCAAAGAAATTGACCTGCTTCTACCTCCCCAGTGCTGTGACCAAAGGCTCTCACCATGACATTGGGCCACTTATAACGACAAAGAATGACTGTGGTTCTGATAAAAGTCAGGCCTGTAACCTAAGCCCCTAAGACACAATTTAAAACAAGAAAGACACTGTTGGGAGGTTGGGAAGTTAGCTCAGTGATAGATTGATCTGCCTCCCGAGCACAAGGCCTTGGATTCAGACCTCACTGACAGTTAAAAAGAAACTGTCAAATTTTAATTATCTTTGTATTCTCTGTGTTTTTCAGAATGGGAATACATGCTGATTCAGTTTTATATTTCTGCAATAAGTAACCACCCCCATTTTTCCAGTGTGTATGATGTGCATGTGTACGGATATTTTTGCATGTATGTATAGCGGGAATCTAGCAGAGTCATTGTCTCTAGGGTAACATTAGAATGTAACAGCTGTGTCCCACTGGGTCTAGGGTAGGAGCAGAATGCATTAGTGCTTGTTGGAGGTTCCTAGACCTTGAGGAAACTATTGCAGATCACAGGGATTGTTTTCTATGGTTTATGGAGTTGATTTTCCATCTGTTGCACGACTTTGGTCTCCAGACTATCCAGGCACACCTGGAGCAACTTGAATTACTGGGTACTGCGAACAGTACACAATAAGGACTAAGGCTGCAGGGGTCTGATGGTTTCCTTCAGCGAGCATAAGTAGATCAAAGGGACTTTGGTATGAGGAATTTGTTGTAATCCAAACACAACCTTTGTGTGTCAATTAACAAATATACTTCTGAACGGAGGTTTGAGGTCAAGTTCACAAAAACTGTTCCTCCCTGCGGCCATTGAGCCTAAAATTACATTCTGGAGTGACTCTCCTTGGAACACCCCACAACACACAACACCCAGCATGTATGGGCACCCATGGATGTGGAGGCCTGAGGCTGAAGTCAAGAATCAACCTTCCTTTTCCATCTCATTTATTCACTGAGAGGTAGGGTCTCTCAATCAAACCCAGAGCTCACTGATGAGGGCACTCTGGCTAGGCAGTTTGCTCTGGGGATCCCATCTCAGCTGCCTAAGGTTAAGCTCACCTGACATTTACAAGGGTTTCCGGATCACTTTAACCCTGGAACCACCTCCCCAGCCCTAGATATCAGTTTTTATAAGAATGATACAGACAACATAAATTCCACATCAACTGACGGTAACTAAAGGATAAAACTAAGTCATGAAAGGTGAACAAGAGGAGGCAATGCAGGACCTGGCAAGTTAAAAACATATATACATGGGGCTGGAGAGATGGCTCAACTGTTAAGGGCACTGACTGTTCTTCCAAAAGTTCTAGGTTTGATTCTGAGCAACCACATGGGGGCTCATAACCATACATAATGAGATCTGGTGCCCTCTTCTGCCTGCAGGTGTACATGCAGGCAGAACACTATATACATAATAAATACATCTTTTAACATGTATATATAAAGATGTATGTAATACAGAGGGGGGAGTATTTTCCTAATCATTTCAATTTAAGAAGTGGCTTTGTACTTGAACTCAAGCAATCCTCATATAAATACGTATTAACGAGACGTTTTAACGAGACGACTGATCACAGGCTTAAAAAGAAATGCCAGCTGTATTCTTTCTAATTACACAAGGCCTACTAAACCAAGTGTGGAGACTCACTCACCTGTAATCCCAGCACTGGGGAGGTGGAGGCAGATGACAAGTAAGAGGTTGTCTTTGGCTGCACAGTAAGTCTGAGGCCACCTGGGTTACACTGGGGGGGGGGACAATGCCTCGGGCGTTAAGAGCCCTTGCAGGCCTTCCAGAAGAACAGAGTTAGTCTCCAGCACCCATATCAGCACTACAAACGCCTGGGACTCTCTTTCCCGCTCTCCGCCCCCCCCCCCACCCAACACGCACTTAAAAAAAAAAAAAAACAAAAACAAAAAACTGCCTGGAACCCGTACTCTAGGGATCTGACGGCCCCTACTACTAGCTTCCTCAAGCACCCTTGCGTTCTCGTTCTCTCCTCTCTATCTGCGTTCTCGTTCTCCTCTCTCTCCTCTCTCTCTTCCTCTCCCTCTCTCCCTCTCTCGCTCCTCCCTCTCTCCCCCCGCCCCGAAACACGCACTAAAAAAAAAATCTTTTGAACAGATTAAATGTGATTATGTTTCTGGTGGCCATTTCCCGGGTCAAGGGACCCCGATGAACTGAAGGGACACCCCAACAGAATAGCGCCTTTGGCGCAGTACCTGGGGCAGTGACGGCTGTAACAAGTCCCTCCTTCCTTGGAGATGCGTTAGGGAAAGGACACGGGGAGACTTTCCCACAGCCAAGGATGGTTCTCGTCACGGGCTCCCAGGAGGAGGACGCCCGAGGATACGGTTGGGACCAAACAAAGGGAGGCGGGCTAATCTGTCCCCATTAGATCCTAACTGCGCGGCAACCCAGCCACAACGGGAGATGCTAAGAGGCGGGGGATGAGAATTGAACTTCCGTTTTCGCACTTCCGGGCTCCAGGAGCGTCGTTTCGCAGGCTAAAAAGACTTGAAAGGGGCTGTTATGGATGCGGGATGCACTCGCCTCCCTCGTCCGAAAGAGAACGGCGGCTTGCTCTCCATGGGCGAACACGGCTTGACTAGTTCTAGCTCCTGAACTACACTTCCCGGAAGCCATCGGAAGAACAAGCGCCCGCCTTCCCTGAAGAGTTTTGGGACACACTTCCCAGAATTACCCCACTGCAAGGAAAGACCTCTTGGGAGCTTTTGGACTACAGCTCCCAGAAGTCCCTTCATCTTCCGATCACTTTATCCGCCTCACAAAGAAAGATCGTAGACCCTTGGGATAAGTGTTGGTCATTCCCTGAACTATTAGGTAGTTTGTATTGTTTTGGAGGTCTCTGGGACAAAATACCCGACAAAAATAACATTAGGAGGGCTGGAGGGATGGCTCAGAGGTTAAGAGCATTGCCTGCTCTTCCAAAGGTCCTGAGTTCAATTCCCAGCAACCACATGGTGGCTCACAACCGTCTGTAATGAGGTCTGGTGCCCTCTTCTGGCCTGCAGACACACACACAGACAGAATATTGTATACATAAAAAA